GTACTTCCCCTCCCAGGCCAGTCTCTGGAAGTACTGGCTGCCCTGTGCTCACCTTGCCATCACCAGTGGCCCTCATCAGCTTGTTTCCTTCACAGTTCTCTAGGACAGAAGCAGGAACGAGTCTCCAGATTTGCAAATCTTTCAGAGCTCCTGGGGCACATCTTGGGTCCCAAGAAATCTCTTAAGTGTGTTCCGCTCACCAGCATTCACTTGAGAGGATTCTATGAGTTTCTTTAGCACAACAGGTAGTAAAATGTGGCCTTCCCAATATCTACAGGTAGAACTACCCTCCCATAATGGGGTGGGGATAGGAGAAGAACCACTCAATCTGTGGAAAGAGCGAGGCAATTCCTCCAAATACCCCCAGTGAATCCCTTCCATTTCCCAGTCTCCTTTATACTGGGTGTGGGTGACGGAGACAAGAGTCTCAAGAACAGGGTGGCCACTTTTTATTTAGCGCAGGAGTTGGGTCTAGAAGCTCCTATTTACCACGATTCAAGACTATCAATTTCCCTTATTTGTGTTTCAGTGAAGATTCTGAGTTCCCAGGAAGAGCCCTTGCGATGGTTAACTTTATGCTTTAAACCGAGTAAACCAAAGTACACGGACATTTGATCAAATAATAATCTAGGTGTTACCATAAAGGTATTTTTAGATCAGATTAACATTTAAATTAGGTGACTTTGAGTAAAGCACACTACCTTTAGTAACGAGAGTGGGCCTCATCCAATCAATTGAAGTCCTCCATGGAAGAAGGAATTCTGCCTTCAGATGTGTTCCAACTTGATGTACAACATCAACTTTTCCTTGGGTTTCCTGCCTACCAGCCTGCCCTGCAGATTTTGGATTTGCTAGCCCACACAACTCCACAGTGACCTGAACCAATTCCTTTAAGAAAAAAATTAGAGTTAAAAAGATTAATGCGCATATCCTATTCTGTTTCTCTGGAGGACACTGACTAATGCAGCCCTATTTAACATTCCACGTAATTCTACAAAGACACATGCCTAACTTGTTTTGCTCACTGTAGGAACCATTATCTACCTCTGGTAGTCCCTGAATGCCATCCACTGGGGGAAAAATTCTGTTTATCAGTACCTGGAATAGTTCTTTAGCTCAATACTTGATGGATAAATCAGAAGGACTGCATGAGAGTCACAGCACATACGGTGAAATGAGAATTTTATACAGCCACATACACTATCCATCTGATTGTGATCTGAGTTTCCAAACTGTCCTTCCAAAAATAGGAAATTCAATCGATCGTGGTCAACTTCAGATTTCCTCTGTGTCACCCAGACTCTGTGTTCTCTTGTGGGCTTGAATTGTACTTGCCAGAAAAAGTTCGCTGTGAGTACAGAGTATTTTCATTAGATGTTGTTCAAAGAAATTGCATTTCTTCAGCACCTTTTGCCAAATGCTTGCCCCTAGCCACTGGTTGCCTGGGAACAGTCCCCAGCCCATGTACTGCATCTCTCTGTTGCTCTCCCTCCATTGCCTCTGAGTTCTGCAGTGGCCACACTGTGGTTGTAGAAGGGTTTCATCGTGAACATCATTTAATAGAAGAATATCTTCTAAATTAATTCCAAATTGAAAACAGATCTCCAGTTGCCCAGAAACGTGGGCCTGTGATTGAAGCACATCACTTAATTCTATTATAATTGAGTGTGTTGCACAGTTTGAACATCACAGTTTCTAATTAAAATAGCTAACATTTACTAAATGCTTGCTGTGGGCCAGGCCTTCTTCAAAGCATTAACTAATCTTCCCAACTCTTGAGAGGTTGGTACTATAACAAAGCCATTTTACTGATGAGAACAGAGGCCTTAGAGAGGTTAAAATTACTCATCCATACCAAGTGTGGTGGCCCATGCCTGTAATCCCAGCAGCTTGAGAGGCTGAGACAGAGGATGGGGAGTTCAAAGCTAGCCTTAGCAAAAGCAAAGCACTAAGCAATTCAGTGATATCCTGTCTCTAAATAAAATACAAAATATAGCTGGGTAATCCCCAGAACAGGAGGGAAAAAAATATTACTCATCCAGAGCCACGTGCCAGTATGGCAGGGGCAGGTTTCAGATCCCAGGAGTCTAGTTTTAAAGCCCTTTGTTCTTTACCACAAAAAGAATATCTTGCCTGAAAATCAGCCTTGTCTTTATAAATAGATGCTTACATACTTTGCAAATCATATAACTGTATAGATTTGTTTTATATAACCGTAGCTACACCAAAAAGACTTGACAGGAACTTATGTGAAAAGAAAGTTTTTGGTTTTGGAAGGGGGTTGTTTGTTGTGTTTACATTAAAGGAGATTTAAGAGAAATGACAGGCTAAAATATAAGGAGCTAAAGAGAAAATAGTACATCAGAAATGCATTCAAGGGAAGTGCCCAGGTTTGAATAGAAAACTTGCAAGGTTTCTTGGCTACCAGGACAAAAAGAGGAACATAGTCAAGTTCATATCTTTCTTCATATGATAAAAAGGAAGCATGGCATTTTACTGAGAAAGGTGCAAACTTACACAGAATCAGAAACTCTTGGGGTGGGGCCCAGAGATCAGTGCTGTGCCCAGCTGTCTGGTGGTTCTGGTGCAGACTCAGGTTTGAGCATGGTGCTCCACGTTTGCCATTCTCATGTTTCCAGATGCTTCTTTTCTGTCTCTCATAGCATCTAAGTCAATCAGTAGCAGGTAACCAGCTAAGCCAGACTGTAGACTCTGTATCCCCAAACATCTCAAACCTTGAAGCTTCAACAGCCTTGGAAATGGAATGAATCTAAGCAGATACACAAGGGTAAATTGCTTCTTGTAAAATCCCTTATTAGTTTGCCTTCCCATCTACTCTAATATTCCTCCAAATGGGTTACTGTATGTCCTGTATGTCTTAAATAATGAAGAAGCCCAGAGCTAACAGCTCAATTTCCTAGCAGTCTTCCCACTGGGAAAATAAAGAGAAATTACCTTTCTGGGTTGTATGTTGGGGTATCAGGCTCATTCTGCAGATTTTCCCATTTTCCTGTGGCTATTAACAAAACTGCAGTGGGGAGGAATTGCCCATCCATACTCAAAAATTGGAGTGGTGGCATTTATGTCCTCCCTAGAATGACACAGAGTCCCTGGTCATCATCAATTTACTTAGAAGGACCACTTTTTTAAATAAAAATATTCCTAACTCTTGCCAAGGTTTAGAAAGCCAGCTAAGAATTCTCAAACACTTGATTTCAACTTTGTGACTAATTTCCTTGTGTACCTGCTCTTGACATGTGGCTGACAAATGGGTGTTTTATGGAAGCCATAGCAGACTGTTTGGCTTTTATTGTGACTAATGATGCATCGTAAACAAAATGGAATGTGCATGTGTTTTAACCTCAGTCAATTTGCATTCCTTGAGATGAAGATTGGAAAAAACCAGATAGCCTTTCCCTAAAGAACAATAGTTTTAATTTTGTTGTTGTTGTTGTTATGGGTCTTACAATTCTGCTTAAAAGTGGACTTAAATAAGCTTCACTGGGCAAGCAGGAGCCTGAAGGGTTCGGTGTATATTGTCATTAATTGATGTTGTGTGGTCATCTTGTACCGGACACTGATATTTGCCAACCAGAACAAGTGAGGAGCATGCTCATATTTAAAAACAGATATGTAGTGTCAATAAACTACCCATTTAAATAGGGGCCACATCCCCTGGAACAGCCCAGAATGTCTATTTCATGTAGTTCCTTTTTCAATTATCCTGTCCCTAAACTTATCTGCTCTCTGTCCCCCTTGGCTAGTGTCTTAGCCCATTTTGTGTTGCTAACAGAATACCTAATGCTGGCTAGTGTATAATGAAAAGGGGTTTATTTGGCACCAAATTCTGGTAGCTGGAAAGTCTAAACAGCACTGTGCCCGCCTCTGAGAAGGAGCTCGTGACTCATCACCACATGGCAGAGAAGCAGAGGGGATGTGTCATGGGCATAGAGGTCAGACACATGGGTCAATCTTCCTTTATAAGACTCACTCTCAGAGTAGCTAGTCCAGTCCCATGGAACCTAACCCACTCCTGTGAGAGATGGGCATTCATCCTTATGAGAGTTTTGCCCCCAGGACCCCAAACACCCCCTAAATACCCCCAACATCCCTTAGCACCATTACTTGGGGGACCACACCTCAGCATGTGTTTGGGTTAGAACAAACCGTATTCACACCACAGCAGCTAGAGATCTCATTTCCCTCTTTATTGAGCAACAGAGGACATCTGCCAAGAAAGCTCTGGCTGCTCCTACTCATCTTCATTTCAGGAAATCTCCTCACCTCCGTTTTTCCCAGTTTGCCAACCATCTCAACAACAGGAGCCTCTCTCCAAAGATACCACCTGAGCCCCAAATGCCCCCAGATCTTCTTCACCTGTTACCTCTTTGTCTCTTGTACTTTCCATACCGTCCTGTCCTCTAGCATCTCCACAGGTTTACAAACTCACACTCTGGGTCCCATCTATCACTCTCGTTCCCTATCAATTTGACACCCCCAGATTGAGAACTTCATCTTCTCTCAACAGTCTCTCTTTCTATCACTTCTTTCTTCCTAGAATTCTACGCCCGAGTTATCTTGGTAAAAGACATGTCAAAAACTCAGGGGTATCTAAAAAGAATTAGAAAAAAAAATTTCTGAGTCTCAAGGTCCTCCATGTCCACCTTGAGGCCTTGAACTTTCTTTCCCAGAATGACTACCCGTGCACGCTTCTCTGGTTCTTTGAGCATTACACTCACCTTCAGACCTCTGAACTTCTACTCTTACATTTCTCCATCTGCAGCATCCTCTCTCCACTTATTGAAATCCTCATCCTCAAATGAAACTGTCCCCCTTGCTTCAGTTCAAATCAATGACACCCACCTCTGTGTACCCATCTTACACTTCTATTGTAGTGCCGCCTTCCCTGGTGATTAGTTGTTTGTGCCTGAAATCAGGCACAAACATTTCATTTTTTAAAGTCTTTCCCCAGTGCCAAACATGGTAATTAACCAAAATTAGATGTTGAAGCACTGAATTAAAGTGTGTGCTATTAACCAAATGGATAATCAGGGAGGTACTATAAGGAACAAAAGAAGGTTAGCTCATTTCCATTAGACATCTTCTTCTGCAATATTACTTCAGTGTAATGTAATCATTACATCTAGAATTCTTAACTGTTGATTTAAATTCTTATCAGATAGTCTCATGAAGGAGCCTTTTTTGTGTGTCAAGTAGAAAGATCAGACTGGGATTATAAATTCTAAATCACAGCCCTGGCTCCTCCCCACAAAGCCACCTGCATGGGTCTCATATCACTTAACCTTTTAGGAAAACTCAGTTTCCTCATCTCTAAAGGGAATTGTCACTACTTTATTCTTCCTAAGCTTTCTACCAAGGTCAGGCTATTGCTGTTTTTACCATCACCATTATTTTACAGCAACTTTTTTTTATATAAAATCCGCTACTTATTGAGCTTGATAAATCCTATTTTGTAACAATTATATAGCAAAGTGCACAGAACTTTGACTACCATGAGGACTACTTAATGGTTAGAGGTCCCAATTTACAAAATTAACCCTCTAGGTGAAAGAGTTAGACAGTTCACATCTTCCTATTGTTGCCAAGAATAAAATCTACTGGAACAAAGATACTAGGAAGATTGCCCAGCCCACAGTTAGATGGAGACAGCAGCCAAGTAAATGCTCATAGTTATAAATGTGGAGGGTGCCTTTGAGAGACAATTAGAAGCCTGGCAATCATAACATAATAGAGCTCTTATTTTTACAACATAAATAGCACTGGGTCTGGGAACATAACTCAGTGGTAGAGTGCTCGCCTAGCATGTGTGAAGCCCTGGGTTCAATCTCAGCACTGAAGAAAAAAAACAGAGTTAAATATTAACTGCACTAACTGAGCATTTCCTGTGATGTTGAGTTAGGTGCTGTTATTCCCAAGGTTGAGAAGGTTGACATGGTCCCCAAATAAGCAATAGCAGGAGCCTAAAAGGCTGGAAATGATTAGCAAGTGCAGAATGAATCTATTAGAAAATCATTCTCTTACAGTCCCAAAGAAAGTGACTGGTCTAGACAGCAGTCACCAGTGGATGGTAAAACCACTGGCTGAAACACACCTAAGTCTACAGCACTGGTTGGTCTCAACGTCACTAACCATGGGTCCGAGGGTCTTGGGTAACTCATGATTAACACAGTAAGAAAGGACATTACACCTGTGAAGTCTTCTTGCCTACACATATTGAACATGAATATAGTCAAAGCTTTCAATCTAGCACCAGTTTATAAGAAGCAGGGGGCCTAAATGAAGAAGGTGAGAAGCGATGTGAGTGTAGGATATTCAATAGCAGCGGTACCCCATCAGGGCCCCAGAGGGCTTCTTAAATCACTGGGCCTCATTCCCAAAGCCCCTGCTTACTAAGACCTCAGAAGAAAATTGACATTTGTACCAAATTCCCAGGAAGCACTTCAAGGGAGCACACTTTGAAAACCACTGCTTACCTGGCTATTCAGTAATATGAGAGGGAGAGGGGATGTGACAGAATAACATGAATTTAAAACACACACAAACCTGATGCAATGCATGGACTTTGCATCTTAATTCAAAGCAACTGAAAAAGAAATTTTTGAAGCAACTGGGGAAATATACATATGTCGACTGGATTAGGGGTTAAATTAAGAGATTACACTCCATTCTGTTGAGTGTAGTTACATCGTGACACTATCATGAAACACATTTTTAAGTTAGAAAAGTATTTTGTTACCACCAAGTGACAATATTCCTAAAGATGATGGATTAAAAAGGGGGATTATCAAAATACTAATAATTGTTGAAATTGGCAATATATGGGGATTGTTATGCTAGTCTCTCTGTTTGGGGATGTATTTGAAAATTTTCATAAGAATTTTAAAAAATAATCACTGCCTGCACTGGACAATCTCTTCTTACATGGGATGACACCCTCCTTCATCTGAAGATCAATCTGCCAGTCGCCTCAGCCAGCCCTTCAAAAAATGAAAACCCAACACTCAGAAATAAGCAAAGACACATTACCTTTATACTCTAGAAGTAGCTGTAACAATGTGAATTTTGGCGGACTCAGCATACATCTCCGTCAATGATGGTGTGTTTGCTTCTCATCCAACAGCTGATCTCCCGAAGGAGGATTGCTGGAAGTGGCTATAGAGCCAGCAGGAAAAATGACAATTCGAAGCTGGACAAATAGAAAATGGAAAAAAAAAAAATGTGTAACAGAATTAGATCAGCCCATTGTGCGATACTTGGCCTTTATAAAGCATTTATGTGTCAGTTACCATTCTGATTCTCTTATTTATATTAATGCTATTAATCCACAGGGTAACCGCCTGAGCTTGGCACTGTTGTAATCGGTACTTAATAGATGAGCGCACTGGATTGTGGAGAGGTTAAGCAACTTGCCTGAGGTCACACAGTAGAGAGCCTTTGCTCTTCACCAAGGCTAGCACTGCTTCATTAATAAGAGTGAAACCATATCCACTGTCATCTAAGACATATTGGAGTTAAGTGGAAGTTTAAAAGGCAATGTAGGCATTTTTCTGGTTGAAAATTGTTTTAAAGGGTTTGTAAAGTCCCTAATGGAATAAACTGACTATTTGGAAATCTCCCTAAACAAAGCCTGGTATGGGAGCAAAGAGCATGGACTTTGGAATTACAAAGACCTGGTTCAGAGTCTCTCTCCACCTTTAACCAGCTGTGGTTCTTAGGCAAGATACTTGACCTCTCTGATCCTCAGATGTCTCAGTTTAAAGTGGAAGAAGTAACACAACATATAAGGTTCAAATGAGTTAATGGTGTATGGGTAGTTAGTTCATATTCTCCTTCATCTGGAAAAGCTGGTGGTGGCAGACTAATGACTTGTTACTTTATAAATAGGCAAAAGATACTCCATATCCAGAATTTACAAATGTGAAATTCCAATTAAAGATTAGGCATGTTCTAGAGGGAACGCTTGTAACACCGAAGGTCAAGAGCCCAAGCCATGATCATGAATGCCCATTAATATCTCAGGGTCGTCGTGTGGATGGTTAACTCTTAGCCAGCTTTCCCTCTGTCCGGAGATGCACATGCCAGGCTTCCTGCCAGGCCCGTAAGCTCTGTTCCCAGTTGTAAAGAAGAAACTGTTCTTGGAACTGTGGACCAGCAGTGTGCATGGGCAATTCTGCTTTTCTTTTTTCATTTTCTTTTTTTTTTTTAAGGCTTTCAGAGCAGAGCTGAAAGGCTGAGGATCTGCACACCCGCAGGCAGCTTGAAAGACCCCTCAGATTTGCTAACTTGGGCTGACCCCTGCGGGGCAGCAGGAAGAGAAGCCAGAGCCTGCTGAGGGCCAGGCGCTGTGCATTGCATCCTACCCAGGAGAGGGACCTTGCCAACTGCACAAACCAGGCCCCCCAGGCACTGGAATCCATGTTTTAAGTATAGAGCTGGAAACCAGGCTTGAGCCTAAGCCTTACATAGTTAAAAATTGATGTCATTTATGGAAATAATGTCTTTAATAATTGCTGGCTTAATGATGGGATGGTTAGTAGGATATTACTTATAAAAGCAAAAAAAAAAAAAACCCACTTGGAGGAATCTATGCATCAGGTGAGAATATTGATGAGAATGTGGACTATTCTTAGGATGGAATGCAATAGCTCTACAAAGCCTTCTAAGTTTATCAACATAGAGTCATTGCTAAAAAAGGGTAAAAGAGGGTATAGAACACATCCCATATGTTAATTTATGTTAATTTTAAGTAGAAAACAGATACAAAGGGGTATATCACAAATCTATAATAACAATTGTATTTTAGGAAGGTGGAGAGGAATCAGCCTAGATTTGTAGGTCAAAGGTGAATTCAACTTTATCTGTTATATTTTCTTTCTTTTATTCTAAAAAAGATCCGTTGGAAATGAATGGAGTCTGGAAGGCTGAGGCAAAAGGAACTGCACATAAATACTGTACTCTGGTTGAGAAAGTCATTTCCCACAGTGGTAGAGGCTGGCGGTTCTCATTTTGCGGTGCATGTATACTGAATGTGAACAGTTAAGTAAAGGGGCAAAAGACGGTGGGATCCAGGTTTCTCACTGTGCAGGCTGAAATGTACAGGTAAGCAAGAGTGGGGAGGCTAGAATGATCCATGGGCAGCGGGACAGCATTGGAGACATGATGGAGAACTCATACTCAGCTTAATATAGATTAAGACTAGCATGGAATTCAGATGGAATTATTTACAGATGTATTTATAGACACCTGCATATACACAAGTTTGCATATGCAATATAATTCTGCCACCTGAGTGAACCTAAGAGAAATGACACCCTAATAGCAACAAGCACATCTGGCACCCAGATGCTTATATCTAGTGCCATCCCCAGTAAAAGGAGCAGGGCTCCCTGAAACATGAGTGTGTCTGGGACTGGAGTATCCTGCAGGGCCATAAAGAAGGAGTTCTTAAAAAGAAAAGAAAAACTTAGGGTTCTCAGTGGCTAAAGGTGGATGCATTAAAGCAGCAAAACAACATTGTAGGATTGGATTATGATCCAAGATATGAAATAAAAATACCCACGAGTCAATACTAGTATAAGCAAATGATTAAATAATTAACTAATAAATGGTAAGAAAAAGGACAAATATCCTACACAGAATAATTTCAAAGTGTGTAAATGTTGGTTGGGCATAACTCCTACCCCTTAAATGCAGGCGGTGCATAATGACATTCTTCTAATGAACACAGTGTGGAAATGGAGGGGAATAGCCACCGTGGCTGACAGACACTGTTGGCCAGGTGATCAAGGTTGATGTCCACACTCCTAAATTAGGCTGGTAGTAAGTACACAATGAAGATGGCATTTTATCTCTGTGATCTTCCTTCTGAAAACTTTTAACTCCAGTCTAATAATAAGGAAACTGTTAGGCAAATTTCAGTAGAGGGGCATCCTACAAAATATGGGACCACTTTTATTCAAAACAGACAAGGTCATCAAAAAGCTTGTGAAAGCTGTGCACAGTGGCACACGCCTGTAATCTCAGTGGCTCAGAAGGCTGAGGCAGGAGGATTGAGGCAGGAAGTTCAAGGCCAGCCTCAGCAACTTAGTGAGGCCCTAAAGCAACTCAAAATAAAATATAAAAGGGCTGGGGATGTGCTCAGTGATTAAGTACCCCTGAGTTCAATCCATGATACCAAAATCATCATCATCATCGTCATCGTCATCGTCATCATCATCATCATCCTGTGAAAATGTCATAGCCAAGAGGAGAGGAAGGAAAAATGACACCTAAATGTGATATGGCATCCTGGATGGAACCCTGGAGCAGGAACAGGACAGTACGTAAAAATTAAAGAAATCCAAAATAAAGTTATCCTGCATAACTTTCTCTAATCTCTTAATACCTCGGAATTAGAAAATGGAAATTTAGAGCAGAATTCTGTCCAGATTATGTGTATTGGTAATTACAGTGGACGACATTACTGTTTATTTGTTTGTAATAGCACTGGTAAATCAAAAATCTCTACGAGTCAGGCCAGGATCTAAGCTCAAAATTGTTGAACTTCTTTATACACAAATCTTCATGCAAGTAGTGGGGCTGCTTTCTAAAAATGGAATTTTATACCTACTGGCAAATTTATATGCTCAGCAAGGTTATGCCCATTTTTATTGTCACTCTGTATCTGAGAGCACCTGCATCCTGTTGCCTAGAAACCCCTAGATTCCCATTATGTTCTCTGTGAGATTGATAAGCAAAAAGATCTTATCAAACTGTGTTTTCATTTGCAGTTCTGTGATTGTGAAAGGAATCGAGCATGATTATTTTTCATGTTTACTGGCATTTTGTTTTGCTTTGCTTATATGAAGGACCTGTTCATGTCATGTGTCCATTTTCCGTCACTTTATAACAGCTCTGTATCAGTGTTTTGAATATTATCACTCTTCTGTCCTGACATCTGTGACACTATTCCACATTCCACTTCCTCTTGCACTTCCATGTACACGCAAAAGGTCGGTGGCCCTCAGCCCTGCTTCCCGCTGTTATCCCCGGCTTGAGCTACATAATCTGTGCAGGTGTCTGGCTCTCCGAGAATGAAAATGCAAAAAGAGCAGGAATTGTGGCGGCCTTGTTAGTGTGACTAATCCTTTCAGGACCCAGAGACTGAGGAGGTTCCTGGACTTTGACTACTCAAAGTAGGATAGTCCTGAGACAACAGAGACAGCTGGCCATCCAACAAGGTAAGTTAGGTGCGTGGTAAATTCTTGATGAATGAAGGCATGCTGACTCCATGACTGCTCTTCTAGCCAGATCACTCCTTTGACAACAGATCCGCCTCTCTGACTGCTTCACAGACAGCACCACCTGAATGCACAGACACGGCATTTCTGATATGTCTAGAATGCTCTCCCCCCCCCATCTCGATGAGCACACCTCCTCCTTGGTCTTTGCTTCCTTGATGAACTCTCTCTCTAGCGATTTAAAACTTTAGTTATCCTTACACATTTTGCAACAGTCCTCAATTTTGCAAGGCAGCTGACTAGGGTTAAGGTTGTAACCTGAACTTTGAAACTGCTCAGAATTCTGGGAACTCCAGAACAGCTTCATCCTATCTGATTCTATTCGCCAGTTCTTTGACTCACAGGGCCGCTGACTTTGCTTGCAAGTTTCTGAAGAAGGATGGTTGTGTTCAGTATTTTCCAGGTAATGAAACTTCATTACAGACGAAGACACCTTGTACTAAGTAAAAACATAGCAGAACCATTATGGAGATAAGTAGTTCAGCAGGGGGGTTAAATGTGTAAATTAAATAACCATAATTAAATCATGATTGTTTCCAGGAAAAGACTATTATGCGATTATAAGAAAGCTGAGAATTGTTAGCACTCAAAGAACTTAACTGAAGCATCAATTCAGTTATTCTTCTGTATGCTAAATGATTAAGGAAATCATTTAATCTTTGATTTTATAATTTTATGATGAATGCCAAACACACCTGATCTTTTCTTGGCAAAATCGTATTCATTGTATTCACCTTTTTGCCTGCATTAGTCAGCTTGGGCTGCTGTGACAAAATGCCATAGACTGCATGGCTTGAACAGATTGATTCTCCTACCGTTCTGGAGGCTGAGAAGTCTGAGAGCAGGGTGCCAGTATGGTCAGGTCTGGTGAGGGTCCTTTTCCTGGTTTGCAGATGGCCACCTTCTGGCCAAGTCCTCACATGGCTGAAATTGCTCTGGTGTCTCTCTTCTGATTCAGGCACCAGTTCTTTGAGATCCCCATTCCCCTCCTCCTGTGACCTCATTTAACCTTCATAACCTCCCCTAAGACTTCATCTCCAATATGGTCACATGGGAGTTAAGGCTTCAACAAATGGATTTTAGGGACCCACAGCAGTGCTATTCTTCCATCTTAGAGGAATTGAATTTTAATACATCAATTTCTGCAAATAGTTACTAACACAGAGATTATAACACAAATGACTTCATCTTTTAACTTTGTATGTGGGTTGTCATCTGCCCCATGAGGCCCACCTGAGTTGTCTGTGAAGGTGACTCCACACACCTGTGGCTGTTTCCAGCTGGCTGGTGCGGTTAACCCGGCCCAGTTCCCGTTCACCCATTTTCCTCCCCCCTGGAGAGCAGCATTTGCCCTCCACTGACCACACATTTTCTCACTTTCCCACCACCACTAAGCAACTGCACTTTTCCCCCTTTCTGTCTGCTTATCTTCTTGATAGACACATTTCGCTCCCTTTTCTGTCCGTCCAGCTGTACTTCCAGTTCCTTAGTTCTATCACGGGGACATATATAGAAGCATGCTGAGCTCGTTTCCCTATTTATTATGTTTAAATAGTGGCACTTTTCATAGCACCACGTGCTTTACATTGCACACAGATGTAAGTGTTTGATTCTTACAATAAACCAGAGCAGATGAGGGGGCGGGTAAGTACACAGTGTGGAGCCTTCTCACCACCCAAAATGTGAAAGCTGAGAGTCCAGAGAAGTGAAGGAACTTGCCCTGCTCACTCCTAACACCTCGCCTTCTCTTAACCTCCCAATATTCAGAATTTATCTGTAGATTAAGTACTGTGTGTCTGAGTGCATTTCTTTGTCTCTATATCCTGTTTCAGGGAATCATGTTGGCGATATGGGAAATGACAGGCTCACTATGTATAAACTGTGGGATACGGATATTTTTTGCCCATAGACAGATGCCAGTAAATAGCTAATTATTATAACTATCAAGCCTATCATGAGTATCTGGATAATTGCATGCTTTCAAATGAAAAATACTTACATTTGTATGCTAAATATATCAGCTAACATCTGTTCTTGACAACCCAGAATACAAGGTTATGTCTCTAATCATTGAGAGATGAACAATATTGTAGATTTTGTCTATCTGTGCCAAAAATCATGACCTTTTTTAAAAAAAAAAAAAAATCTTATCTAGATCACATGTAGTGTAGGCATTATTTAGTTCTGACAGATAATGTTTTAGTCACTGGTCATTATTTCCCAATTTATTATCATTTTCCCATCACCCCTGTGGAAGTGAGAGTTTTCCAGAAATATAGAATTAGTAGCATGTGTGTGTGGGAGGGTATACTGTAAGGAATTGGTTCTTGTGCTTTAGGAGACTGATAAGTGCCATAATCTGTCATCTGTGAGCTCAAGACTCAGGAGAGCTGATGGTAGAATTCCCCTCTGAAGACCTGAGAACCAGGGGAGCCAATGGTGTAAGACCAAATCTAAGGGCAGGAGAAGACTGACATCTCAACTCAACAGGCATAGGAAGTAACTTCTCCCTTCCTCTGCCATTCTGTTCTGTTTGGGCCCTCAAAAATGGTAAGATGCACACCCAGTTTGGGGAGGGCAGTCTGCTTTACTCAGTCTACCAATTCCAATGCTAACTCATCTGTAGACATACTTTCACATACACCCGGAAAAAATGTCTGGCCAAATGTCTGGGTATCCTGTTATCCAGTCAAGTTGACACATAAAATTTACCATCTGTGAACTCTTTCTTCTGTGACACGTGAAACTTTACAAAGTTTAAGAAATTGAATTGTAGAGACTATCATGCTAACTGAACTAAAGCCAATCCCCCCCTCCAAAAAAAAAAAAAAAAAACAAAGGCCAAATGTTCTCTCTGATATGCAGATGCTAACACACAATAAAGAGGTGGGGGTAAGAATAGAAGTTTATTGGATTAGACAAAGAGGAATGAAGGGGAGGGGGGATGGAAACAGGAAAGACAGTAGAATGAAGCAGACATAACTTTCACATGTTCATATATAAATACACAACCAGTGAAACTCCACAACATGTACAACCACAAGAATAGGAAGTCATACTCCATGTATGTATAATATGTCAAAATACACTCTACTGTCATATATACCTATAAAAAAAAGAAGAGAAAAAAGCATCTGAATTGTAATTTACTTCACAATGAAGTATCTTATGTTTTTATTAAAAATTTAAATAGGTATGTAAGTACTTCCTAACTTTCAAAACATTGAGAAAGTACTTTAGTAGGATTCAAGTGGTCCCATTCCATAGCAGCATTCTAAAAGCAAACATTCTGTGAGCCCCAAGAAATGCATCATAACTACCTTTGTTCCTCCAACAAACAAAAAATCAGCCATAGCATTGAATGTGTTATTGTCCTTGTGCTCCCATTTGAACCTATCCATGAGCCTTGGGTCCTCCTCAGCAACACTCCCCAATTCACAGATTCCTGAGTGTTAAATAAGATCATGCATGAGGAAAACTTATATAAAATATGAATATTTTCATAATACAAGGGAAGCATATGGAAAGGGAGGCATTGGCCCACCTGCCTTGCTTTGGTGATTGGTTGGGGGTGCATAGGACAGTTACAGAGTAGTGCTTTTGTCTGTCCCAGCAGTGCTGGGGTGAGTGGGGATCTCTCGTCCTTTGCAACTGCTCCCATGAGCTCTGGCTCATGAACAGTGATGTACCTCCCTACCTCCCTGCAAACACACCATGCCATACCCCAAAAAGACTCTGTCTCTGTCTATCTTACCTGATATACTGAGCTCACCAGCACCTTCAAGAGGACTCAATTTATTTCTTCTCTTACTGCATATCATCAGACCCAGACCTCTAAGTTCTCAATTACAAGCCCAGGAAGAACTAACTGCACGTAATAAACAGGAGTGGGGGATCTAATATTTGCCCAGTGGAAAAGAAACATCCATTGAGAGAAAAGAGAATGTTGTGTCTAAGCCTTTGAATGCAGTGGCTTAGATATATCCATATCTGTATTAAAAGAAGGAAAGGGAGAGAGAAAATGCAGTCTTTTTATATATAAGTTCCTAGTTATAAAGAGCTCCATAGTTTAGAAAACATTTCTTTAATGGTGGTGTAATTCACATAACATAAAAGTAATCTTTTAGACAATACAGTAGCATTTAATACATTTACAGTGTTGTACAATCACCGCCTCCATCTAGTGCCAAAACATCAAGAAGTATTTCTCCTTCTAGCATTATATGCACAAACTATATGTAGAACTATTAATTTTTTTTCTTAGACTTTTCAGGCCATTGGACCCATCTCTCTGGATTACATTAGAACCCTCACATGGATTGTTGCAACCATTTGTTGTGTTCCCTCCCAACAAATATAACCCATTTTCAGCATCTAAGAACAGACCAATGAAAACATTTTCCACATTTAATAAGGTGGGCAGGAGAGGTGATTACAGGTTTCTACAAACAGGCCAAGTCCTGTAAGTTCATGTTCATGTATGTATAGACAGAAGCTGAAAATTATTTTAGTCATTTGCATTTCTTCTGTCCAGGGTCCCAGAAAGACTGATCAGTGATATAGCTAATAAAAATGGACCTCAGTGTAAAACTGAATGTGGTCCCCCAAATCCTCACCAAATTTTTCTTCTGCAAACTGGTGAAGTTGTTTTAACAAAGCAAAACAATGAAATTTTTGAGCATTGGTATCACAGGGGTGTGGGAAATGTGTTTCTCTTCAGTGGTGGGAGTACATATTCCATTGCCAGGTGAACAGAGAAGGGGCCCTGCTCCCAGCACCTGGGACTCCCTAAGGTGGTTCATGGATACTTCCCCTGGAAGCAGAAGAGCTGCTCCATCTTGCTACCCGGAGTCTTCCCGCTAGCCTCTAGGACTTGGCCCAACCTTTCCACCCCTGTTCCAACATATGAGCTAACTTTGCAACTGAGTTGGACTGTCTCTAAATTGATTCTCTCTAGCTTGGGTCAATATTGATAAATAATTGTGTGTTACAAATAATTTGTGTATTACATTAGAACTATCACCACAATGAATCCCAAAAAATTCTTCCTGGAAAATGTGGCAGCATATTTCTTTTTGCTAGTTCTCAAATAGCAAGATAAGATGAAAGTGGAAGCCTGTCTGGACTCCTGAAAAATAACTAATTCATGATTTATGAGCATTCTACCTAAAGGAAGAATCAATATAGAGGGGAAAAAAGACTCAGGGAGAACAATCCAATAAGTAACTCTAAACCCATACAGCACATTCTTACTTTTCCAAAGTTCTATATTGCCACTTTATAGTAGGCATTCAAATATTTGTTATAGTGGGCATTCAAATATTTGATATTTGAATCAAATGAGGATATTTTTCTACTTCAGTAATATTTAAAAAACACTTTGCCTTACTATATTGATTAAAT